CCCAATTCCTGCTCTGCTGATATTCTTGTATGCAACTGCTACACAAACGCTTACTCTCCACTCCACCTCCCAGTAACAACGTCCAGTCAGACTCTCTGGACTCAGGATTTGACACCGATGAGTGAATCTGTGTGGGTGACTAGAATAAGACTGTTGTTGACCCGTGTTTGTTACTTTTCTGTTCCCATCAGATAATAACAGCTCTGTGTTTGCTGTGTTTGGATCCAGTGTGATGTCACATGAATATTGTAAGAAGTCAGCTCTGGTCTTGGCTGTGGCTCTGACAGTAAAACATCCACTTCAGTCACTCTCTGTGAGATGTTTGTCCATTTCTCTCTCAGGACGTCCTCTAGTTTATCTCTGACTTCTGACACAGCTGCTGTCACATCCTCAAAGTACCTCAGAGGACGGATATTGATGCTGGATGAGTGTGTAAATTCACAGAGTGGTGACAGTGAGGGGTAGTCGTGTAGAAACTGGTTGTGGTCCTGTGTGTGTGAGAGCTTCTCCAGTTCAGCGTCTCTCCTCTTCAGCTCAGTGATCTCCTGCTCCAGCTTCTCCTGAAGCTCTCTGACTCGACTCACTTCAGTTTGCTGCTGGGATCTGACCTGCTGCTTCACATCAGAGCGTCTTTTCTCCATGAGACGGATCATCTCTGTGAAGATCTTCTCACTGCCCTCCACTGCTTTATCAGCGGAGACATTGATATCCTCCACCTCCTGTTGAAGCAGCTTCACATCTTTCTCTCTGTCCTGGATTCTCTGCTGGATGTTTTGTCGACTCACCTCCAGCTCTCTCTGCTTCTCGATCCTCGCTGCTACAGCTGGGACTGTGTCATGGCCTTTATGTTCATCCACAGAGCAGAGATAACAGACAGACTGCTGATCAGTACGACAGAACATCTTCATCACATCATCATGATGAGAGCAAACGTTCTCCTGGAACTTCTTGGAGGGCTCCACCAGCTTGTGTTTTTCAAATGTAGGTGATTTGTAATGAGGCTGCAGGTGTTTCTCACAGAAATAAGCCAGACATTGCAGACAGACTTTTGAGCTTTCAGTTTTCTCTCGGTGCAGACATCACAGGCCACATCTTCAGGTCCAGCATAGCAGTGATCAGCAGGAGCAGCTTGGAGTCCAATCTTCTTCAGCTTCTCCACTAAATCTGCCAACTTGGTGTTTTTCACCAGGACAGGCCTCACTGGGAAGGTCTGCCTACACTGAGGGCAGCTGTAGATTTTCTTCTCCTCCTCTTTATCCCAGTGGCTTTTAATACAGTTCATACAGTAGCTATGTCCACAGGGAATAGTCATCGGATCCTTCAGTAGATCCAGACAGATCGAACAAGAGAAGGTTTCCCGGTCCAGCTGAACTCCTTTCTGCGCCATTTCTCCTCTCAGTGACAACAACTGTCTGAGTTTCACTTCCTACTACATTCACCTTTGATCTACAAATAATGTGTTAGTGCATGTCAGCTCGTGTTGGTCACACAGGAAATACTGGGTCAGAGTGGAGCTGGCTGTGTTTGAGAGCAGGCAGGAGAGGGAGTGGTTATCAAGCTCTGGTTTATTCCAGGAAGAGGAGCAGCACTGTTAATTTTTAACTTTGTTTCCTCATTCCTATATGAAGCCTCGGTTAAATCCTGCTCCACATCTGAAACATTTGAAGCGTTAAGTTGTTAAATACTTCTTGACTCTTCAGGTCTTTAGTGATTACTTCATATTTAGAAGAAACAACTGAGTGTGCACACATCCAAGCAAAATGCATACAGGTGCAGGAAAAAAGAATGATGACCTGTAGAAAAAGAGAGAGGTCTGCTCACTGTTCAGCTCCCAATGAGCAACTTTATTAAGGGCAGCGTTTGGATCCTTGCCCTTAATACTGTTGCTCATTGGCAGCTGAACAGTGAGTGGACCTGTCTCTTTTATTTATGATGACTTTATATTTCTCAAATTATTTCTAAATTCAAAGTTATCAAAGTTAAGTCTCAAAAAATGTACTTCATTTAACTATTTCTTTAAGTGTTTTTCAGTCAGGTAATCTAAATAGATCAAACTAAATACTTAATATTTTCATCAAACCATTGAAATATTTGTTGAGAAACTTGTTGATGCTGAAGGTTCACCTGAAAATAAAATCTCTAACCAGAGAGAGTCGCTTCAACAGAAGTTCAAAGTTCACTCATTTTGTGCCATGTGCGTCCAAGAATCACCATCCTCAGTGACGAACGGCGGGCCACCGAGGTGTATGGACCAATCATGGATACAGATACTTTTCTGTTAACCATCTTGGTGGTTTATTGACCCAGTAACAGGCAGCCACACACAGAGTCTGGAGAGAGCAGTGGTCTTATAGAAGGAGATGGTATGGTGACTGAGAGGGACTTGGACAGAGGCCCTGCTAAAAGATCATATCTCACTATTTGAGTGGACCTACTGGCTAGCAAACTGTCACAAAGATGGTCCTTTGGGAATATTAATTAAGGACACAATGCATAGATACTGCTTGTAGGAACCCCACCTCACCCTCTCTTAAACCCACCTTGTGCAGGTATTCTGTTTTGGTGTTCATGTTGAAATGAATAAGTACTTAATCTTAGAGATCATTCAAAAACATGTTTTATATGGTTAACTCCTCTTGGAGACTCTTTATTTTAAGTTTATACTTTTGTTTTCAAAATAACATGCAAGGGTCACGACTGTGAGAAACACAGTGAAATCTTTAAATCTCCTTTTTGCTATTCCTTTCAAAGAACACTAAAATTCTTAAATTTTCTAAATAGAGAAAGTTGTGTATGAAGCAAAAAGTCACTATCTTTTTAAAATTTTGAATAAGTGTGGAAAACAGATGGTTGTCATGATGAGTGATTTCGATTCATTAAAGGGGCTATATGTAACTTTCAAAAATACTGCGATTGTAGCGATACCGCATGGCCGTTAGGTGAACTGCACAAGTAACCTGTTGCTCGCTCTCCCTCGCGTGCTCGTAATACGTGGTCGTACGTATACAAACAAGCATCATCATCGGCTGCGAAACACTGGATATTTACCGGCATAATGTTTACAGAGGAGGTAAGCGGTCATACACATGTGAAAGTCTGTGAAGGAGTCTGTGTGTCTGTATTCATTCTCCATCCTACAAACAACAGTCTCAGCATGCACTGGCTGAGAGCAGGAGTGTGTGATGAGTTTGTCCACCTTTGCGAGCTCTTAGGGCAGATAGAAGTGTGTGGAAGACGGCCTCTGGCTGTGGAGGTGAAGACCGGGGCTGTGTGATGAGTTTGTACTGTTGATCTCTGTAAGCGGACAGAGTGAGGAGGACGTTGAGAACGTGCATAAAATGCTTTTGCAGAAAATACGACCCGGGGAAAAAATGTATACAGGCAACACAGATAGACAGTGAATATCTACTTTTTCACATCAGTTAACCGTTTGCTTAATAATGGGCGATAAAAAATGATATATACATGTAAAATTCATGAGAGCAACCCATCCGGGTACTTTGCCCAAACGAGGCCGGCCCCGCCCCTTTCTGGTTGAAATCATTCCATCTGAATGAATGGCGGTTAATGGAAAAGTCGGGGTCTTTACCGATTTAAAAGCTTAAAATGTGAAAAACGTACTTTAAAACGACAAGTATGAGCCTAAACCTGATGCCCAGTGATGTTAACGTTTAAAATATGACATTTGTGAACAGAGATCAGCGTCATAACATTATAAAATACACACAATTAAAGGTGTACATGAGTGTCTGTTCAGTCTCTCTCCGTCAAACTGGTCAAACAAGCACATCCTGTGATCAGAGGAAACTGACATTAAACACCTGATGAGTAATTATTAATCGTGTTACCCGAGAGGGAGCTTCACTTTTAAACAATATTTATTTGTAATAGTTTCTAACAGTGTTCATAGCTGCAATAGAGAGGTTATAGACGTTTATTTTAGAGAAAATAGGACATAAACTCTGAGTTATCAGCTGATTTAGAAAAGAATAACACATGTAAAGTCACCTGGATGAAATTAAAACCTTTTGTATTCATACGTGAGTGTAAATAAGGATGAGTGGGGTGAGACGAGGAGGTTAGTGAACTTTTTATTTTGACATTAGATTTGGTGGTGTTCCTTAGTTATGAGACATTTTCACCAACATATTTGTTATACAGTTGAAACATTGTTAATACGTTAGTGAATGTGTGAAGAACCTGTTAACAGACTTCTCTTCTGTCATGGAGCGATCGCTGCCTTAAAGGAACACAACAGCTGCCCCACGATTTACCACTTTAATCCTCTCTAGTTTCAGTACAAACACACAGAGCTCTTCTTTTACCCTCCTTTGTCCTTTGTAGATGAAAACCTGATACTAAATTGTGTTTTTAAAATAGTTTGAAGTACAAAAAGCTACACAATGGTGTTTAATCGCCCAGCGACCAGTGTTTTCTAATCTACCGCCGATACATTCTCAGAGCTCGTTTTCACCCAAACGGGGGCGTGGTTGCTCTTATGAATAGATGTTGAAAGCTTTGTCAGCTTAAAAACCTCACCTGTACAAGAGGAAAAACGTTGTCTGGTGTTTGTGCTGACAAATGTTTTACAGCCTATTAATTTAAGTTTTTGGTTAATTTTGGGAGCTACATTGTTGCCATCTACTGGGGTGTTTAGTACGTAACCATCACAGCTCATGAGGTTATTTTGCAGAGAAATGTAGATTAAAAAAAAACATGAATTAGCATGTTTTCTATTTGTGCATATAAAGATTGGAAGACAGACATGATAGATATTGTACTTTTCATTATTATTATTAGAGGTATTTTGTTTTTTAATCTTTTTTTCCCCCCCATTGTGTTTAATAAAGACTATAATAATAAACATTAAAGTTATAGTATTATTTTATATAAATTATAGTAATTATTAATACTACATTGTTATTAGCAGTAAAAGTAGTAGCATTAAATCCATTTCACTCTTTTTGAAGATAGTATTTTCATAATTTCCTTTAGTGAAGTCTGCTTTAAGATGGTTTTATTTCAGATTTCTTCTCATAACAGGGTCAATGCTAAAATGTGTGGAGGAGATGCAGATGAGTCATCAGCAGGCCCAGAGGCAGCAACCAGCAGGTCTAGTATAGACACATCACACAGCAGTTGTACAGACGCAGCATCCTGCACATTACCACCATTGTCAAAGTTACAATTTGTTCTTACAAATAAAGGTTGTTAAGTTAAAAAGACATTTTGTAATGGACTTGTTATTTAGGTGCTCCAATAACTGTGTGTTGGCCCGTGGGGGGGCCTCCTTAACACATTTTGCTTAGGGCCTCACCCTGACCAGGGGCAGTCCTGGGAGGGCTAGTGCAGTGTCCCAGGATCCAACGTGGCAGGTGAGTAGACGAGTGACTGTGGCAGTGTTCTGTGAATCCCAGTTTGTCGTCCAAAAGGTGCACAGGAGAGCAAATGGCAGGCAAGCAGTGAAGAGAGCACAGGAGCACAATGCAAGTAAGGCCATCTGAGGCAAGGCAGAGAAGACAAAAGGGGGTTAGCTAAACAAGCTATAACAACGAGGAACAATAATCACAGAGGAGCCAAGATCGTACGATACCACACGAGCTGATGAAACAATCTGGTGTCTAGCAGAGTGCAGAGAGAAGTCTTTATGGAGTGAGTCCTGATCATGAAATGAGATTCACCTGGAGCTGCCTGTGAAGAGAAAGCCACGCCCACCACACTCACACAGGACAACAGACAGGGGAGAGAAACATGAGGATCAGACAGACAGGGAATGACAAACTACACACAAATGGAGAAGGGAGGGCTGCCATGATGTGAACCATTCACTACTTACTCTGAGACAGCAGGTGGCGTTATGCATGGGTAAAAATATAACATGAAAATGAATACGGTATGTTTTTATTTGACCTAAGTTAAAAACAAGTTTTGTTATTTAAGAGGATGTTATTTCATGTTTTTATGAGGAGGCATTATAATGAATAGAATTAAGAGTTCATTCTCCCTCAGGAGACATTTGATGGCCTTTGTAATAAAGCAAACAATAAAAGTGCACACAATATATCCAAATCAATGTGAACAAATAGGCTGGAAAATGTCTGCATGTCAGATATCATCAAGAAGCTGCTTCTAACTTTCAACATTTTTGTTGATTGTGAAAGGTTTTGTATGTGCAGTTTGTACTTTACCTGAAAGAAAGACCTCTACAAACACATAACTAACGCTTGATGTTTGTTTTCATAGACGGTGCTGAACTAAGGATTCTGGACTCAGTTCATGTTCTTCACTCGTAGGAGCGATACCTTTAAGTTTTGGTTTCCAGCCTGCTTCCTCTCAAACTGTAGACAACAGGTAAGTGTCTAAACCCTCGAGCTGAGTCATACAGAGGAATCACTGTCTATGATATCTGTTACTGTAGAGCAACAGGGTCTACATCAGTCCATCTGACCCTCATCAACAAGCAGTCAGAGAGAAACATTTTCATGTATTCTTCAGGCCATACCTGCAGAGGTCAAAGGTCATAAAGCTGCCTGCAGATCACCCAGACTTCAACCTCTGAATCAAAGCAGCTAGGTCAGCAGAAGAACTTCATCCATACAATCCTATGATTCAGTGGTGATCTTATTTTTCTTACTGATTCTCCATTTAAACCCTAAAAGCAGGATTAAATCAATCCTGAAATGTGTTTATCTGTATACAAAACTTAAAATGCAGACATTTATGGAAATTGCTTTTCCATCATTTTCATAACAAATAACAGAGTAAGCATATGTTGTAGTTGAATATTTTGAAATGTGAGCTGAGATCAGATTCTGGTTCCTGTTTTGTAACATGTTGTGTTTTGTCTCTGTTGAGCAGCAGGTGGCAGTGTAGAGTCACTGAGGCTCATTTCAACATATCAATAGTTGAACAGGGTGATATCTTCTTTTCACTCATTAGACCTCTTGTATCTTATCATATGTGATAGAAAATAGTTTTTATTCTAACAGTGAATTATTTTCAGTCACTTCAGAAGTCATTAATATCAGAGGCTTGGTAGAATAAGAGATGTCTCTGATTGGTTCATTGTAACTCTGTAAAAATAAAGATTTGTTTTTATTGTCACTTTAAACTGAAGGTTTGTTTAAATGTTGTGAGAACTTTATCATTTGTGTTGATGTCATCTCAACACATGTGAAGTAATGATGAATATATAGTTGAGATAATGTTCAATAATATGACTATAAAGCGATGGTTAATGCTGCTGCTTCTCTAACAGAAGGCCCCTGGTTGGCGTCCCATTTCCACCATGAATCAAAAAAGAAAAAGTTGTTTTGTTTTGAATGAACATAACTAAGTCAATTAATCCTCTTAAATGACCCTGACTCAAATTTTAATAATGATCTCATTGATTTCATACTTCAGAGTACATTTTTAATCAATTTAAGTTCAAAAAACAAAATTCATTCTGCAAAAAGAAATCATTCTATACATTTAATTTTCATGCAGAGAAAATGTCAGTTCAGCTGAACAAAAATCCTCATGAGCAGTAAAGCCTCTGTGACTAAACAGAAACAGCTAAAGAGAGTTATTTAAAGAGACTCAAACATTTACAGAACAAGTGAGAAGATGTCAAAGTACCGCCCATAAAGTTTGATGGACAGGTGAACAATGTAACCACAATCAGCTCTCAGCAAACAAACATGAATAATGATCAAGTTGAAGGATTAAAGTTTAACCCACTGTTCTTTAAATGACTTCTGTCTATTTCAGTTTACAACAACTCAGCACTACATCCAGAATCAGTCAAAGTCCAGCATGTAGAGGCTGAGTGAATGTGGTCTGGACTCTGTGGAGGAGAGTCATGGTTTCAGAGATGCTGTAGAAGGACAGAATACCTGCTCTGTGATCCAGGTACACTCCTACTCTGGAGGACTGAGGACCTGAGACAGGAGTGAGGACATTGTTGTTATAAAAGTTATAACTGTTGTTGTCACAATCTAAGGCCCAAGATTTTCATTGTATCCAAATCCACTTTCATTCCAATTCCTGCTCTGCTGATATTCTTGTATGCCTGCTACACAAACGCTTACTCTCCACTCCACCTCCCAGTAACAACGTCCAGTCAGACTCTCTGGACTCAGGATTTGCTGATGAGTGAATCTGTGTGGGTGACTAGAATAAGACTGTTGTTGACCCGTGTGTTACTTTTCTGTTCCCATCAGATAATAACAGCTCTGTGTTTGCTGTGTTTGGATCCAGTGTGATGTCACATGAATATTGTAAGAAGTCAGCTCTGGTCTTGGCTGTGGCTCTGACAGTAAAACATCCACTTCAGTCACTCTCTGTGAGATGTTTGTCCATTTCTCTCTCAGGATGTCCTCTAGTTTATCTCTGACTTCTGACACAGCTGCTGTCACATCCTCAAAGTACCTCAGAGGACGGATATTGATGCTGGATGAGTGTGTAATTCACAGAGTGGTGACAGTGAGGGGTAGTCGTGTAGAAACTGGTTGTGGTCCTGTGTGTGTGAGAGCTTCTCCAGTTCAGCGTCTCCCTCTTCAGCTCAGTGATCTCCTGCTCCAGCTTCTCCTGAAGCTCTCTGACTCGACTCACTTCAGTTTGCTGCTGGGATCTGACCTGCTGCTTCACATCAGAGCGTCTTTTCTCCATGAGACGGATCATCTCTGTGAAGATCTTCTCACTGCCCTCCACTGCTTTATCAGCGGAGCCATTGATATCCTCCACCTCCTGTTGAAGCAGCTTCACATCTTTCTCTCTGTCCTGGATTCTCTGCTGGATGTTTTGTCGACTCACCTCCAGCTCTCTCTGCTTCTCGATCCTCCTGCTACAGCTGGACTGTGTCGTGGCCTTTATGTTCATCCACAGAGCAGAGATAACAGATAGACTGCTGATCAGTACGACAGAACTCTCATCACCATCATGACGAGAGCAAACGTTCTCCTGGAACTTCTTGGAGGGCTCCACAGCTTGTGTTTTTCAATGTAGGTGATTTGTAATGAGGCTGCAGGTGTTTCTCACAGAAATAAGCCAGACATTGCAGACAGACTTTTGACTTTCAGTTTTCTCTCGGTGCAGACATCACAGGCCACATCTTCAGGTCCAGCATAGCAGTGATCAGCAGGAGCAGCTTGGAGTCCAGTCTTCTTCAGCTTCTCCACTAAAACTGCTAACATGGTGTTTTTCACCAGGACAGGCCTCGCTGGGAAGGTCTGCCTACACTGAGGGCAGCTGTAGATTTTTTCTCCTCCTCTTTATCCCAGTGGGTTTTAATACAGTTCATACAGTAGCTATGTCCACAGGGAATAGTCATGGATCCTTCAGTAGATCCAGACAGATCGAACAAGAGAAGGTTTCCCGGTCCAGCTGAACTCCTTTCTGCGCCATTTCTCCTCTCAGTGACAACAACTGTCTGAGTTTCACTTCCTACTACATTCACCACTGATCTACAATAATGTGTTAGTGCATGTCAGCTCGTGTTGGTTACACCCATCTGCAAACTGTAGATCTAAAGGGGAGGGAACCAGGAAATACTGAGGTCAGAGTGGAGCTGGCTGTGAGAGCAGGCAGGAGAGGGAGGGGTTATCAAGCTCTTTGAACCAGGAAGAGGAGCAGCACTGTGAATCTTTAACTTTGTTTCCTCATTCCTATGAAGCCTCGGTTAAATCCTGCTCACATCTGAA